ATATAATAATAAATTATATATAATTAATTAGTAATAATACGAATAATTGATTAAGTATATATATAATACCTGCTGAGGTTTAAGCATGAATGCATCAAAATCTGCTCCAACTTCATGCAAAATGGGATTTACAGAAGCAAGCTTCGAAGAAAGAAACTGAAAAAAAAATGATTAAATTAATCTGTTATTATTTAATTTTAAGATAAATTATATAATAATAATATTATAAATAAATAAATTAAAAGATTATTTTTTTATTAACCTGGATATCCAACCCGTTATGCGAACCGACTGATCCCAGGACGACACGTGGTGGTAGTGCAGAATCACCGTATTTGGACCTCCGTGGTCATAAGGAGATTTTTATTCCTCCTTGGATTTGATTGAACTTGGGACATCCATACACTTTAGACCTTTGGAGACCAAGTTCAAAACAATCAGACACCACCGTTATGGTTAATTTAAAAGATTATTTAACACTAACCACAAGGGTGGTGTCTGATTGGTTTGAGCTTGGCTCCAAAGGTCTAAAGTGTCTGGAGGTCTCAGGTTCAAATCCAAGAAGGAACAAAAATCCCCTTGTGGCCACGGAGTTCAAATGCGGTGACTCCGAGCTAGCAGGTGGTTGCCCTGAGATTAGTCGGCTCGCATAACGGGTTGGATATCCAAATTAATAAAAAAAAAGATTATTTAACACTAACCTCAATTTCATTTTGTAGACATTGGACATAATGAATTACTTCATCCAACATAAGAGCCTTTCCTGTTATCTGTTTACAAATGCATGCACATATAAATAAATAAATAAATAAATATATATATATATATATATATATATATATATATAAGGGTTGGGTTCACGTAAAACCAAGGGTTTTTGGTGAGACCCGTAAGACCAATTTATGTTCATTAATCAACTTTATAAGCTAATAATCTTATAGTATAAAGTTGCACGGTGACAATTTTGTGATTACTGAGAAGTCTCATGACAATTCTGTGATTATGAATGTTCAGATTGTAGATATAATCCAAAGATTGAGAATTGGTCTTACGGGTCTCACGAAAAACCTTTGGTCTCATATGATACCAAGTTTATATATATATATATATATATATATATCAAATAAATATGATTTATATATACCCATTTCCAAATTTAAATTCAATAATAATTTAATTAAATTTAGAAAACAATTTCAAAAATTAATGAATTTACCTTATCACACCCTGGAACAATGGCTTGCAAGGCTTTCATCTTCTCACTTATCTTCTCTCTCCTCACCTAAAACATATCATATATATATACATTTTGATCAATTAATACAAGAAAAAGTACATAAATTAATACATGTCGAGGTGAACGAAAACGACACCCTAAAAAAACAAAAACGATACCCACGAAAAGAAAATCAAGAAAACGGTTCAAACATTTTTTTGGAAAGAAGACGACACCTCTTGTAACCATATATTTTGGAACAAAATGTTTGTATATATACATACATACATACATACATATATATAGAGAGAGAGAAAAAAAAAGAGTTGAAACATGAACACATTCATTTTACAAGAACATCCTTTTATTATAGACAATCACATGTGATACTATTATTTCATCATATATATATATATATATATATATATATTTATCCTCATATTCTACTTGATATATGGAACTAAAAAATTCAAACAAGATATATAGAGGGAAGAAGGGTATAAATGGAATATCTAATAGAAAAAATAAAGAAAATATAGTACCCTTTCAGCAAGACTATGGCTATCAGTAGCTTCACCTCTCCTTGCTCTAACATGAATATACCCAATTTGCCCTTCTTCTTTACAATCTCTCATTTTCTTCTTCTTGTTTTCTTCATCATTATTGCTTCTCTTTTCCTTCCTCCTTCTCCTACAAGTCTTTGTTTCCTATAAAACCAAATAAATTCAATTAATTTTAATTAAAAAATAAATACAATTTAATTCGTGTAATTCATTAAACAACGTCGCGACTCAAACTCAAGAACTTTACGTTATCATAATCTGGTACCAAGTACTTAGACCGTTTGGTAGACTGCCAGATCAACTTAAAACCATGATGGAAGTTATTAGCAGCTCACACAACTTGTAGCTTATAAAGAGCTCATAAACCTAATTTTCAAAAGGAATTGACCGAACGAAGTTAAAAGTTAATTACATCGGATTGATGATAATTGAAGGAAGAAGAGTTGGTTGTGAGCATATTCTCCCTTTCAGCGTTGTGGTGATCATGAACCGCCATTGATATCGAAGAATTCAAGCATTGGAACTTGTTGTCAATGGAAGCTTGATTGCTACGACCACTCATCACTTCGGTGGCGATAGGTTGATCATCGGAAAAACCGGTGGTGGTGGTGGGTTTTGGGAAAGAAAGAGAAGGATGGCGGTGGCGGTGGTGGTGGAATGAGGGGGCATCCATTGGTGGTTTTGTGATTGATAAAGATGAGATTTTTAAGAAAGAAAATGTGGGTCGAGGGAATGTGTGGAAATTGAGGTATTTATAAGCATGACAACACATGGGTTTAATTGGGTCCAACGGTTTATAAAGTGTTTTCATAAAGCTAGAATGTGTTTTTTTATAATGGACAATAACTAAATTATTAGTTATTTTGAGAGCAAATTGCATGAAAAAGTAATGTATTTTAACTTGATTTTTATTTTGTGTAACGTATTTTTAAAACTTTCATTTTGGTACCTAAGATGTAAAGTTTTAAACATTTAAGTACCTGGGTAACTGGTTGATGCATTAACCGATTACTATGTTGATGTGGCGAGTGATAGGATGAAATTGGGTTGAATAGCAAATAATACTGAGTTGGATATCACATCACTCGTCACATCAACATGGTGACCGGTTACCCGGGTATTTAAATGTTTAAAACTTTACATCTTAGGTATAAAAATGGAAGTTTTGAAGGTATGTTATCCAAAATAGAATCAAATTAAAGTATGTTACTTTTTCATGCAATTTACTCTTATTTTTATCTTAAATTTTTTCTGTTTTTTATAAGTTATAGTGAAATAGTCAGTAAACCGTAAAAAGTATACAATTATTGCAAGTCACTATTCGATATTTTTTTTATCATACACAAATTAACGAATACAATCATATATGGTATATTGAATATAAAGGGTTTAATCATTTGAAAACTCTATAATTCATGAGATCTATACGATTCATTCTAAGAGGTTATTTGTTTACCTCTTAATAGTTCCATTAAAAGGTAGCATCTGAATCGTTATGAAATCTTTTAAGATTGTTTTCATTGTGTTGACAATATGTTTGTCTTATGTGCATATTTAATTGTGCATGTATGTTACAAGAAAGATTAAAGAAGAGAGAGATATTTATGGAATTTCAAAATTTTCTTAAAAAATGCAGTAATTATCTTCAATTAATTACTTAAGGGCTGTTTGGCAATTGCTGAATGATTTGGTGTAGAATGATTAAGTGGTTGGAATAATTGTATAGTGCAAAATAAAATATAATTGTTTGGTAATTGTTTACAATGAAATTATGGCACTGGATGGTTAAGAGAGACCTAGAATGCAAAATCATTCAGAGGGTTTTAGAAACTATTAAGCGGCAGACTTTTTTTTGTCAAACAAGATTCATCTCTTAACGATTCAGATGCTGTTTTTTTAATGAAACTATTAAAAGGTAAACAAATAACCCCTTAGAATGAATCTTATGTGTTTACAATATATTCATAAATAATAGGTATAGATTCAGTTTTGTTGTTTTAGTTGGTGTTCACAATATGTTCACAAGCTATACCACATCTCGTAGATTGAAAGCGTGTTCACAAATTATGGTATCAGTTCGAAAACGTTCAAAATAATGCACATTTAATTTTTTGTATGCGAGTTTTACGACGAGAGGAAATAAAATAAAGCGGAAACGAGAGAGGAGAGAGAGTTTTTTAAATTATATTTTATTTTATTTTATAATTAATTTTTTATAGTCTAAATTGGATATTACAGACCTTAAGAATTAAGAAGTTATTGAAAAAAGCCCCTTTATATTAAAACGTCAGATTGTGATCTTTCCGTCAAGATTCTTATTCGGTTTTATCGTCTCTTCCATGAGAGCTTCGTAACGAAACTTAAGGCCGTTTACTGAACACTTTAACTTGGTAAGCACTTATCGGTTCAATTACCTTACTGAGTGAACATAACAAAGATCAAGAATCTTTCCCGGTAAAGGGAAGACAAAGATCGAGAGTCTTACCCTGTAAGCACTTACCGGATTATAAACGTTTACCATCAATCTATTTTGATGGCCCGAATGTTACCCTATAAGGTAAATAAAAGTGGTGACACTTAACGGTAAGCTTTTACCTGCTAAGTGTTTTGTAAACTGCTCTTTTAGATTGTTCAAAATAGATATAGGATAGAATGAGAAATCAAGTTATGAAGTAGTGTGTGTGTGTCTATATATATATATAGGGGAGCGTTCAAATAAAAACCACTCAATTTATAAAAACCGTGAAAACCTCATTCAACCAATCATAATTTTTCATTTTGTTCATTTTTTTGTAATTTTGAGAGGTTGATTAACCATTTTTATTGTAGAGGGTGTTAATCATGGATATTATCATCTTCATTATTTTAATTTTAGATAAATACATGAAACAATTTCATTAAAATTTCATTAAATATTATATGAAACAATTTCATAACCATATATGAAACAAATCATCAAAAAAATGTATTATATGAAACAATTTCACAAGATTAAACATTTCTTGAAATTTTTTTATAAGATTAAACAATGAAATCGACGTATGAAGATGGTTTGTACGGTTTTTACAAATGAGGGTGGTTTTTATTTGAACGCTCCTCTATATATATATATATATATATGTGTGTGTGTGTGTGTGTGTGTGTGTGTGTGTGTGTGTGTGTACATGTATATGTACACACGCACACACGCGTACGTGTGTGCATCTGTGTAGGGTTTAGGGTACGCGCACTAAATGGCAAAGGCATCGACCATTTCTATTATTTTCTGTTGAAGTTTTGGCTACCTCCGTTATCTTTTACCAACAAACTTTTGGTTCATTGAATGTAATTCGGTAGAATTGAAATTTCACGACGTTAATGGAATACAATCATAACGTTTGTTTGGCGGAAATTGAAATGAAATTGGTCAAAAGTAATTTGAATTTGCATGTTTTGTCGAGGAGTATCCGAATTGGAATGAAAATAATAATAAATGACCATAATACCCTTTACGACATTTTTCATACTTGTTTTATTTTTCAAGATAAAAACGTAATTCTCTTTTGGAACTTCATATACTTCTCTCTTTACATTTTATTCGTTCTTTAAATTTTACTTTTGTATTTTATCTTTTTTAGGGGGTGTTTGGGATTGCTTATTTAAAACAACTTATGTTTTTTTTTTTGTAAAAGTGTTTATTAACTTATGTGGTATCAAACCAGAGTTTTATAAAAAGTATTTGGATTAGCTTATAGCGGTACCAAAAAGTAATAAACTGATAAGTTGTTTTTTAATGTTTGGCAAATTTTGCTTATATATATAAAATGACCAAAAATGACAGTCTTCCATATTATTGACTTATGAGAGTGTTTGAGATTGCTTATTAATTTATTTATTTTTTAACATGTAAAAATTTATTTTTCATCATTTATAATAATATCTTTGACAAAAATTTATATCAATAATATTAATAATTAACAAACATTAATAAAATAAAATTAAAATGGTAAACTGGTAATAAGAAGTTTTTCATAAGTCAGGAAGGATTAACTTATCAAAAACTGTTTATTACCGGTTTGACACCGGTATAAACAGTTTTATTTTTCCTCATCCAAACATTAACATTTAACTTATCACCGGTGCCAGACTGAAGTAAGTCAAAAATCATCTAGAATAAGCAATCCCAAACACCCCCTTAAACTTTCAGTTTATTGTTCTCAAGATGTTATTTTTTTACATGTTCTCTATATTTTGGTTAATTTATGTAATTTATCAAATATTAATAATAATAAAATAATATAAAAAAGATATAAAATAAAATTTTGAAATTACATAAACCTTATATTTTGGTGTCATTTTAATTGTCTAGATGAAAACTTTCTTATAATAACAAAATTTAAAAAAAAATATAAACTACACATTAAGGGTAAATTGGTCATTTTACTGGTCATATTCTGTACAATCATTTTTTTATTAATCGTTAAACAAGTGTTCTATTTTGTTTTGTCCTGTTCAGATATCAAACACACCCTAAATAAAGTGAAATTTACATATATAGTCAAAGCTGGTATGTGGTTTCCTTTTTTAGCAATTTTCTAACCCAAAATCCCTTTTTAATCAAATGCATAAAGATCGATTTTCGGAAGAACAAAAAAAGAATTCTTAAGCAGAAAGTGAAATCCGTATGCAGAAAACCACTTTCGACGTAAAGACTCTTTATCTTTTTTGCTTAAGACTGATCCTTACATACATGCTTATGGGCTGTTTATCAGTTATTGAATGGTTTGATTAAGTGGTCAGAATGATTAAGAGGCTCTCATGATATAATGCAGAATGAAATATAATTGTTTGGTAATTGTTTACAATGAAATTAGGGCGCTGAATGGTTAAGAGATGATCATGATACAAAATCATTCAGAGGGTTTTAGAACCATTAAGAGACAAACTTTTTTTTGCCAAACAAGGTTCATCTCTTAACAATTCAGAGGTTGCCTCTTAGTAGAACTATTAAGAGATAAACAAAACCCTGAATCTTCTACGTGAATATTGACAAAAAAATAATTTGAATTAAAAAAAAACTAAAAAATAAAACCTTAACTAGAAAGATACTCGTGCAATACAGCGAGATATATCTCGATTTTAATATTTCGTTTTATTCCATCTCAATAGATGTTTTAATACGGTGTTTATGTGGTTTTGAGAAATGGATAATGTTTTTATTTTTAAATAAGATATAAATTGGAAGATATCATAAAATTTCAAAAATAAATATATCAAATTAACTATTTAAAAGTTCTTTTTTTTGTGTAATTCCTTTAATTCAATAGTTTTATTATAATTTAATTTAGATTTAATAACAAAATAATTTATTTTTGATTCAATAATATATTTTTTATAAAGATAATAATTAATTATATTTTAGATTTTTTATATTTAAAATGAAATGTTTATCATGTATTTTATTATGTTTATCTACACTTAGTCACACGAATTTAAGCATGAAACTTTAATAAGTTATACTTATGCACAATTTACTTGTAATCTTAAATTTTAGATAATATGCATCAATAAACAGTACTTCAT